GACAAAGGGCAACCCTGGCGGAGGCCAACGCGCACTGGGAACAGGTCTGACTTACAACCAGCAATGTGAACCATGCTCCTGCTGCGGTCGTAAAGGGAACGAACAGCCCTTAACAGAGGGTGCCCTGGTGCCACATGCACTTGTGGACATCCTTGGGCTTGAACATGGTGTTCTTTATGGACAATTTGTGGTTAGCACAGAAGTCTAGCAACAGAACACCACTCGGGTTCAGATCGGGGAGGCCGTTCCTCCTGATCACCTCTCTCCAGGTCTCACTGTCATTTCCCACGTGGGCGTTGAAGTCCCCCAGTAGAACAAAGGAGTCCCCCGTTGGGGCACTATCGAGTACCCCTCCCAGGGACTCCAAGAAGGCCAGGTACTCTGCACTGCTGTTGTTGCTTCAATGATGCTGAGTGGTGACAAAGCAGGAAATAAACTGTGCAGCTGTTTTATACAGCACTGATTTATGTTTTTCATACCTCTCTGATCTTCACAGAGTAAACATGCTGACACCTCCAGAAGTCCTACTGCAGACTTTGCAGGATTTGGGAGCAGAAGAGTTCAAAGAATTCAAGTGGTACTTGTGGCAGAAGGGGGCGCTAGAGGACTTCCCATCAATCCCAAAGTGTGAACTGGAGAACACAGACAGGATGGACACAGTGGATGAAATGTTGAAGACCTACTGCATCAACACCATTAAAGTCACTGTAATGGTTTTGAAGAAGATGTCCAAGAATGATCTGGTGCAGAACATCCCAGAAACCATGAAAGAACCTGCAGGTAAGTCAGAGAAAGAAGAAAAGTGGGACATTACAGAGATATCAAGGACAATATATAGACATTAGACTGATGAGTAAACATGGTAGTTTTGACAGAACCATCCACAGAACCAAGGAAATCCACAGTAGCAGAACAAACAGTTAAGACATAGTGTCCCTGTGAAAACGTTACAGATTGGACTAAATAATCTCAGATTGGTGTCCACGGACAGAGCAGTTTATAGGTGTGAGGTGGAGTTGGATTACACGGAAAATGCTTCCATCTTTTATTTGTTTTTCGTTGTCATTTCAATTTTTGTTGTTAATTTATTCTTACAGAGATTCTCACTGGGTGTCAAGACAAACTGAAGTCTAAGCTGAAGGAGAAGTTCCAGTTTGTGTTTGAGGGGATCGCTAAAGCAGGAAAGAAAAGCCTTCTGAATGAGATCTACACAGAGCTGTACGTCACTGAGGGAGGGACTGCAGAGGTCAGCGATGAACACGAGGTCAGACAGATTGAAGCAGCATCCAGGAGAGCAGACGGAGCAGAAAGAAGCATCAGACAAGAAGACATCTT